AATGCTTTCTGAAGATTTATGAGCTCTCGTCGCACTCAGCTTTGTCTCTCTTTGGCAACGATTTGCTATTTATGTGATTTTTACCTGCTCCATTTAATAAAACTGAAGAATGGCCGACCTGACTGAACCACAAAACACTGCCCCTGCGGATGCAAAGTCAGAAGCATCAGCTCCGTCAGAGTCAAACAATCTTTCGAGAAGCTATGAAAATTCCAACTATCGAAAACTTTACGCAAAATTATCAATTGGCGCAATGATTGGCAACAATACACCAGAAGTGGGTGGTGAAGATGAAGGTGAGAATGAAATAAAAGCTAACGATACCTCTGAAATACGACCAGATGGTACGGTGCCAAATGAAGAAGATGAGCCAGAGGATCTCCAGTTTTTCTACGATGAGTACGAGGAAGATGAGGAAGACGAAGAGGAGGATGAATACTACGAGGATGAACTTGAGTACTCTCCTACCGCTACCAACGGTGTCACTTTTCCGGCAAACTCTCAGCCTAGTTCTGGAGCTAAAACTTCGGGTGCAGAAACGTCAACCGAACTTCCTGATGGGTGGGAACGCCATGAGGATGAACTGGGCTCGTATTTTTGGCACATTCCCACTGGGACTATTCAAAGAGAAAAGCCTTTTCTGGATACAATTGACAAGTCAATGATTCGCTCTGACTCTCTTGTTTTTCTCGACAAATCGGCAATTAATGTCGACTATAATCCAGCTGATTTAATTGAAGAGGAAGACGAGTCTAAGACAGCAGCTGGTTCAGTTGGCAAAGATCAAAACGACGAAGAAGAGGATGTGGAAAGAAAAGCTCTCATTTCTAAAAAGAAAGTCATCGCAAACTTGCGTCTAACATTTCCAACTGACGACGAAGAAGATCCCACTGACACTGAAGACGAAGATCCCGAGAGACTGAGCTTTGTAGTGCATTCTCTTGGGTGGCTAGATGTAGATGAATCGCAAATCAACTCACAAACAGGTACGAAACTAAGCATTTTTAGATTAATTAACATTAAATGTATTTAAATTCTCTCTAGGCTCCATGGTGATTCGACGCTGTATTCAGCAGTTGTCGCGCAAAGCTGAAAGTGTCCGCTGCTGGGGACCAGATGATACCCAGTCTTTAATCCTCCGACTAGGAGGGGAGAAAATCTGTCTTCTCGATCCAACAACGGAAACCGTTTTAAGCATTCAGTTGATTCGCGAAGTACGAATGTGGGCTGTTGACGAGCAGAACTACTTTGCCTACGTTGTTAAAGAGCGAGCAAGTGGTGCAGTTGCTGGACACCCGAAATCTTCCAAAGTTACTGGTGGCAGTATTCTCAAGTGTCATGTCTTTCACTGTGACGACAATGGCACTGCAAATTCATCGAGCGCTCAGAGAATTGCGCTCTACCTCAAGGATGCTCTTATTCGCATCAAAAACAAGGCTCTTCGTAATAAAGCTCATGGTAAGGCTTTTAAACAGGCTATTTTATATGAAATAACATTAACTCATAAAATGTTCTCTCCTTTAACCAGCTACTCGTCCTTCTAAACTACCTTTTGGCAGTTCTGCTAAAAATCGCGCAGAACGTGATTTGAATTCGTTTGAATTTCCAACGCCCATTGAGGAGCCTCGGAAAACCATTCCAGCAATGTACATTGGTCTTGTGCCAGTCAACAAGCCCATGGGCGTTGAAGTGCTTAATATGGCCATTGAGGAGATTGTTTCCTCGCTGAAGCTTTCGCTGAGCGACGAAAATGATGAGACTGAGCTGATGCGGCACGTTTACGTGCACATCTCTCCCAGTAACATTGTCGTCGAGTGTCAGGACACGGGCGCAACACTGGTCGAGTGCCGAGTGAGGTACTGTGTTTGAATACTCTGTTTAATGCAGCTTAAATTACCTCTGAAACTCCTCTTTGCAGGTATCTTTCCTTCTTGGGCATCAGCTTGGACAATGTGAAGCGCTGTGGTTTCATTATGCAAGTTGATGACTCTCAGTTTGTGGCACACTGCTTCCAGGCAGAGCCCAGTGCTGGCGCACTGTGCAAAACCATTGAGGCCGCCTGTAAGTTACGGTACCAAAAGTGCCTTGACGCCCATATGCGTCAGAGTAAGCAGCTGGCTGGACAGTCCACTGGAGCTAGAACCACCGCCGTGAACGGCGGCAACACAGCGAGCTCACCAGTCGCAGTGGCTATCAAAAATACAATTGCCGGCGTCTTTTCCAAAATAGTTCGCGGAAAATGAGCATGTTTAGTTGTACTAGGGCAATGATCTTCATGATATCACCCACCATCTCTTCCAAATCACTCCCTACTCACTCCCAATTCACTCATTTCCGTGATTGATTTTTCTTTATTTTTTCTCATTTATATCAATTTTGTGATCTGACCTTTCTCTCCGTTCTACAGTATTACCACAATTTGGTATTTTTTGTCAATTATTGAAATTCCGAATTCAGTTTTTAGTTAACTTTCAGGATGAAAGTCTCTAAGAAATGTTCAGTTTGTGAATTTTAATAATTGACATATTCCCAAAGATGCTTTTTAGACTTACAAATTATAATATTGACTCTGTGCCATTTTAACTAATTTTAATTTTTGTGATGCAAACCTATGTAATTGCAGCTACTAATAAAGACATAAAAACAACATTCAGTCTCGGAACTGGTTGACCTTAGGCCACAACTGAAGCTTTTGATTAATGTTTGGTCAGTCTAACCTTTTAAACTCTCCTGTTTGAATGGGGGAACTGTCACGAGAATCCAGCACCATCAGCGATAAGCGGGCTTTCCAGCATAGTCGCCGGTGTTGCGACATTCATCATAGAGTTGTGACCGGTCAGCTGAGGACTAACTTTTTTGTATCTAAACTATTGGATCTTCTGTAAAATTCCTTGGACATTTTCCCTTGCGCAATAAATCCTCCCCAGCAACAATCTCTGCGGAGAGCATCGTAGCATTTAGCTGCAGGTGATGCTTGTGCAACAGCACTGCACCTTATCTGAGAGCACAAATCAATCAATGTTGTGGCTGTTGCGGGGGATGTTGATTCCTTTGATGTCATTTGGTAGTCATTGCACGGGACACTAGCGTCAGAAAGCACAACGACACACTCACTCACCTGCTCACAACGACGGACAATGGATCCACCCACGAACCAAAGAGATGAGGATGTTGACTCGCTGTGGTTCAAGTTCGGCCGAGATAAGGTGCCTCCATCGCCTCAAGCGGCTATCCCCATTGCCAAACGGACGGAGCTGTACTACCCGATGAAGAGTGCCACTCGAGGACGATGTTTGGTGCTCAACTTCAAGGACTTCACCATTGATCAGCCAGTGCGTCATGGCAGTGAGTACGACGTCAACGCCTTGGAGAAAACATTCAAAGCGTTAGGATTTGAATTTGAAGTAAAGCACAACTTGACCAGAAAGAACACCATTGATTACTTGCAAAATGGTAAGCTATTTTCATTCAAAAAGATTGTCTTGTAATCTTTATGTTTCACTAGCTTCCACGTTTGACCATGAAAAGTACGATTGCTTTGTGCTGTGCATTCTCTCACATGGCGACAATGGCAGTAAGTGGATTTTTGAAAATCTAAAATTGTTCTCTTTTCTAAACTCAATCAACTTGACAGTAATTTACTGCAATGATGGCTTTATCAAAATTGATGAAATCGTCAACTTGTTCACCTCCAATCGATGTCCTACATTGACAGGAAAGCCAAAAGTTTTCTTCATCCAAGCTTGCCAAGGTAAAAAAATTCCTATTATATCAATTTTTCAGCATACTTTTATCTGCTCTATCTTAGGTGAATCATTTGATTCAGGAACTTTGGTCCATGACTCTGTGGAAACAAAATCAGATTCAAATTCATTTCTCATTCCTACTTACTCTGATTTGTTAATTTTTTACAGTACTTATCCAGGTATTGTGTTACTTTTATTCAAATGGCTTAAGTTTAAAATAGTGCTTTTTTGTTCAGGGTTTTTCGCATGGCGAAATGCCTTCTACGGCTCTTGGTTTGTGCAAGACCTCTGTGCCACCTTGAAGGAGCATGCAGAAGAGCATGACCTAGTCACAATGTGCACTCTTACCAGTCAGAAGATAGCATTTGGTAGGCAGTCAAATGTTCCAAATGATAAAGAGAAACACATGAAGAAGCAAATGCCATATCTCGTTTCTACGCTGACACGCCTAATACGTTTCAACCAAAGTGTAAAGATGGACGAACCAGATGCAGATGAAACGGTTTCTAGGGCTATGAAATTGAAAAGTTAGCATATTTTCCTGTGCTTATTTTAAAAGTTTTATTTATTATTGCATAAACACTTGTTACACGGCAGATTTTGGCTCAAGAATGGGATAGGTGGCTCGAGAAAGGATGCCACAGATGTTGCCCTTTGCGCGAGTCATTCGCATTGTTCCCAGTTCTCCCCACTCGACGCCAAAGCTGTTTCTTAGGTGCCAGTTATCTAAATCGAAACCGGTCAGACTCATCCCATGTGTCAGTAACTCTCCACTGCATTGATCGTCGTCGTAAACTCCATTCTGATAGAATCTGAATGATTTCGGAGCGGCATCAATCATCACAGCGACTGGGCCCATCTTGTTGACAGCATCAGCTAGAGCATTGTCCTTTGGTTCGACAAAAACATAGCGGGACAAGGCCGCAGTGCTGTTGGCTCGCTTGAAACGACACTGTCCGGTTTTGCCTTCATAGGAGTACGCCTTTTCGGTATCAATGCCATGGTTAGCTAGCACATACTGTTGAGATTGTATAGTTTAAATTGCATTTTAAAATGACCATATTCAGGGCTGAACAAACCTCAAAGGCATTTTCTGCTGTGCCGAAGGCGCAACCAGCGTTCCCTTGCGCCATTGAACAATCGATTAGGTTCTGCTCCGAAAGAGAAGTCAATCGGTTCCAGGAATTTTTCATTGCAAGGGCAGTCTCTAGAGAAGCTGTGGCGGCAAAGGCCCAGCCTGAGGCACAGCTGTTGCCCTGATTTTTCACCGGTGTCAGCAAACTCCACAGGCTGCCATCGCCTTGTTCATCGTTTGACGAGACTCTGTGCACCTCAATGCCCGCTGGAAAGGGCTCGTTGGCGCGAACTGGACGACTGAGGTAAAACTGTCTAAATTCTTCATCACTGTAATCTGCAAAGTTGTTTATGCCCACTTGAAATTGTCGATGTCCGCTGAAGTATAGTTTGTTAGAGTCGGAAATAAACTGCAGATTCTCTACAAAAATATTCTTCCGAGTCACCTCTTCTTGACTACTGTGGTACACACGAGAAAAGCGATTCTTAAAGAACCTAAAGCTCTCATCGATGTACTCTTGAGTCAGTTCGCCAGCCACCAAGGTGGTCAGTGCGAGGAGAGACAGAGAAAATACAACTAACTTCATGCTGGAAAACAATGACTTAAAGTTTTACTAATGAAAAAGAAGTCACTATTGCATTTTTAAATAGGTGCACAAAATCTCAAGCACTTTCACGTGATTGATAATCACGCTTAATTAATCCAATTAATACACGCAAATTGGTTCTCCATTGCAAAACAACAAATGTAATACATCTGATCTACTTGTAGTTTAATGACAGTCCAAGTGGGTAATTCGGACTATAGATTACAACGAGTATTACCTCAAGATTGCTGTTGAATTTGCAATTCTTCGCGCGAACTGACAATAAACAGTCTAAATTGGAAAGCAACTAAATCCGCGAATGGCGAGCTGCAAGATATACCTTGGCAGTGCTTCGCACCCTCAGCAGTACCAGCACAGCGAAGGCACATCTTGCAGTTGGCGAAACGGCGTCAGATTTCTCGGCTTTAAGGCAAATCTACTCACTGTGTTTGTCAGCGAAGGCGGAGCTTCAACGGGCAAGCGGTACGATTGTCTGAATACTCTGGTAGAGTACACACTGTTCCACCTACCTGGCAAAGTTGCAGGCACAATTGTTGGCACTGATCGCCAATAACCGCAGACGGCAGAGAGTTGAGTGTACGAAGGATACAGCAGATGTGTTTGGCTGATGCTTTGTGACCAATTTTTTTGACGTGAGCACGTCGTCGTCGTCGTCGTCTTCACCGCTCCCCAAGACGGCCCACAGACTGACCGCCGTTTGATCGTCGCCAGGCCGTGGGCCGTTTCACGCAAGAGCATCTCTTCTGAACGTTGGAGACACCTTCAGTTCTCGATGTAAACATACCCAATCGCCGAAATGACAGCGGTCTGCAACTCGACTTATCAACAACATTTGCAGACTACTTCGTTGACAACCGACTAACAGTGCCGATCAATTTATGCCACGAATCTTTCCTTCTTAGCAGCATTTTGGTTTCTTCGCCCGACCTCTTGATTAGCCTCACTAACATAAACACACACAAGCAAGATCATCAAACTATAAGGAACCCAAATTATCAAAGAAGATCCTTTTTGTGCTGAACCTTCGTTTGAAACAGCATTTGTCCAAATAAACCTCGCGCTCCAAAACAAGTGCATCCACTGGTGAACATCTGTTTTTCTCCACATTGATCATCTTCGCTTCTTTACACGTCTGTTGCTTCCAAATTTGGCGCACAAGGAATATATGCTGATGAAGTATAATATCGACTCTGCCGTGTTTGTGTTTTCAGTGTAATTGTCCACAGTTCAAAGAAGTGAATGCACTGGAGCAGTAACCACCACTGTTGCTGCTATCATTCGCTGCACCAGTCAGCAATCTGTGACCAATCGATAATTAAGAAGAGAGAGCTTCCTGCAAACCACTTGCAAGTCTGCAACTCAATCATACATTCCCCTGAACTCGTGTTCATCCCTCCATCGACATAACATGACCCCACTTATTTATGCGCCACCGCGTTTCTCTTTTAATTCTGTGCTGTAACAGAGCATACAAAGTAAGTTCCTGTTGAGCAAACCTTAAAGTAAATTGTAAATAAACTAACACACCGTCGTGTTTTCTTCCAATCCAGGTCACTCCTCGACGGACTTATTTTTACTTTTCCTCTGCTATTGCGGNCGCAACTCAATCATACATTCCCCTGAACTCGTGTTCATCCCTCCATCGACATAACATGACCCCACTTATTTATGCGCCACTGCGTTTCTCTTTTAATTCTGTGCTGTAACAGAGCATACAAAGTAAGTTCCTGTTGAGCAAACCTAAAAGTAAATTGTAAATAAACTAACACACCGTCGTGTTTTCTTCCAAACCAGGTCACTCCTCGACGGACTTATTTTTACTTTTCCTCTGCTATTGCGGCTGTCGCTAAACACAGACAAACGTTACACGACGTGATTTACTTGCATTGTGTCACCGAAATATCGAGTTGCACCAAGAGCAACCAGAATTTTTCTTAACAAAGAAAATATTTACAATTCTCAAAAACCTTTTTTAATCTACTTCATTGTCCTCCTTTTACTGAAAATTTTACAAAAGTACACCGCACTTTGATGACAACAAAATATAAATCATCTTTTTGCCAAATATTCTTCTATCTCAACTCTGATACTCTGACAACACTCTTTGGTTGACCGTTTCTTCATCGACATCCTCAAAACTATTTCAAGAGAAAAAACTCATTGTGATATTTCCTCTTCTTTGATACTTGCTTTTTTGAATGATACCAAAAATTGTAGCATCGATTATCTGCCAAACCTCGATTCCTCAATTGATTGCAACCAAGGTATTTCAAGACATCAACCGTAGCATTTCTTTACTAATAGTTTTTAATCTTTTTCAGTAAAAGCATTTTGTCCATTATCACAACCGGTCATTTTCCAGCCTCTGTCATTGCCTGTTTGTCGTCTGTATACTTGCAAAGTGTGTATTTTTCATTCTTATCTGGCCACGGCAACGTCCTTATCACCACAGCTGCCTACAGTAGGCAGTCTACTTGTTGGTCACAGTTGCCTGATGCTGTTGTTGGACATGCACAGCAACAGCACAGAATCATCACAACAGCAGCAACTCCTTTTTACCAGCTATACTAACACATTTCTACTGATAAAATCAGGAAAAAGTACCAAGCTGTGAAAGTCATCAGTTGTTTACATTTTCATCTTCATAGCAAGTTTTAAAAATGAATTTGTTATCTTGAGAAACCATTCAACTTGCAGATGATAAATTCAAAGGTCGATCACATATTGCAGCTGCTGTATTGAACAGAAAACTATCTTCATCAACAAAAAAACCACCAACAACTAAAAAGTGCCACTAACAGACATATACACACACTAACATTAGGCAAGTCTACGTTTTGTCTTTGTGTGCATGTCTGTCACTTTAATTTTCATTTGTCTTGTCAGCTCGTTTGTCGTTGGCGGCTTACTAATTGCAACCTTTGCTAATTATTATGTTGTTAATCTCCCTAATAGGGCTAGCTGGGCTCACGTTTCTTGGCCATTGATACACCGACAGTTAATTGTCATCAATCATCTGCTGACTTATCCCTTCAGCGTGTCGCCAAATATTGGCCGTTACTCTTTCTGGTAGAGTGCCGGTTTTTTCTACATGATTTCTTATTGTTCATCTTCATCAAAGTTCGATCAACCTCAACTGAAACACCATTTAGCGCTTTTCAACGTGTTCGGCTCTAGGTCTTCTTACCGTAAAGATGGAAGATGAAAGGCCACTGTACTACGATGACATTCCAGAAATTGTGCCTTATGAAGATTACGACCAAAGCCAAGTAAGTGTACTTTATTTATCAATTTAGTACAGCAAAATTGAGGATCTTTCCAAGGTCAATCATTACTTGGCAACTTTGTCCATTTTTGTCTGCAATTAGGATATTAGATATAACAACCAACAACCACCTTCGTTTGGCGCGTATACCTAATGTGCAATACTACTCCAATTGATTGCGCCTGTTTTATATTGTGGCCTTTTAACTTATATAATGACAATCTACAGTGTTACTATTGCACTTAAAGTTGCATTTATTTCTCGCGTTTATATTTTGTTTTTACAAAATTGACTCGGTCCTAACAGTTGAAAACCCTTAAAATCTTCGAGTTATTGAAAGGCAGATTTGACATATGCGAACATTTTATGCACGTCAATTGAAATATAATTTACAGCTAGTATGGCAATGTTGTGAGGCTAATTTTGCCCTCTGCCTCAATGGAAGCGCCACTTGAATATTAAATTAGCGCCCTGCCTCAGTCGAGTCTCTCTACCTGTCAATAGGTGTTTAATAATGGCAGGTTTGAATGCGATACGAGTGTGATTGTCATCCATGTTGCTTGCACAATGCTCTCAACGCTGTCC